GACCAGTAGTTTAGTGAAGAGTCTCTTTTCAGTGAATTCATTTTCATAGCTTTACAGTAACAATTATATTATATGGTTGTTTTGTATGTGTGTGTACATTAAATTTGTCAAACGAAAATATACTTAGTAGGTTTTTGTGGAGTCACGTAATACAAAAGGCGTTCAGATGAATCCGATATTGATATAATGGGTAATAACACGATGGTAACGATCGTAATCAGTTACTACAAATATTCAACAAATGCCATTCAGCTAAAAAGTTCACTCTTGAAATTGAAAACGGATCTAAAATTCCTTTTCTTGATGTTGAACTTACAAGGAGAGCTGACGAAACTTTAAGAAGGTCCTAACATAAGAAACCCACATGGAACGGCCAACTGACAAACATCTACAGCTGGTATCAATCAACAGAAAAAGAAACCTAATAGGATCTCTTGGTACTACGTCCGACGCATCTGCAGCTCTGATACGTTGGAAGAAGAACTACACTACCTGAAAGAAATCTTTATACGAAGCGGATTCCCACCAAGATTCATAGACAAAAACATCAAATAGAAAATCCAAAAGCAAAGATGACATCCGTGCAAAAAAATACTTTATATGAACCTCGACTTCAAAGGTGACCTGCTCAATGATGTCCTTAAGAGGAGAATTTTCACTTCTTTAAGAATAACTTTCTTTGCGGCAACACTGAGAGCAGTGTTCTCCAGTCACCCTCTGATCTGTAGAAGCCAAAAGGACAAGATCTCACACCTGACCACTCCTATATTTATGTATCAGTTCACCTGTTGCTGCTGAAACAGGTACATTGGTCGTTCAACGCGCATTCTGCCAAAAAGGATTGAACAACACTATCCAGCGTGGCTGAAGGAAGGAAGGAAGTAGTGGCCATATAATGAGTGCAATAATCAAACATCTCGTCACCACTGATCATCCCATCTCAACAAACGCCTCCTTCAAAGTAATCTACAAAGTGAAGAACAACGTGCCAAAGACAATATGTTTCCGTCTTATTTGCTGCATTACAGAGGCCATAGCCATTCTGTTAGAAGAATCAGAACTACGCATACAAAAGAAAATTATTCAACCGCTTCTACTATCATGGTAACAAATCTGTCGATTTGACTTGACTTTTGCTTGTTTGTTTTTCTTTTCTAATCGATTAAAACGTAATTCCGTATATTATTTTGCTTCCATGTACACCCTGACTACAACTCTTTCACCAAACTTTTCGTGTTACCACGGAACTCTTCTTTAACAATCGTTTGTGACAACTCATCACTTTTGTTACCATCCTCCTCTATCAACATCCAATTCCTCTGAGAGCTTTTTTGTAACGTAAAACTTACCAATTGTATTTTCGTTTTACAAATTTTATGTACACACATATATAAAATAACCAAATATGTATTTGCGATTGTACAGCTGTGAAAATGAATTTAGCGAAAAGAGACTCTTCATTGAACTACTGGTCTTCTGCCAAAGACTTTTTGCTGACTTAATAATAAGGCAACTTTGACCACTGAAAGCAGTTTCTGAGCATAAATGAATAGGTTGCCATACATTTATTATGAAAACAATCTGATGATCTCTAAACAGTTAAACATACAGAATCCTTAATAAACATCACAAAAGTTTCCAATTTTTTGTGTGACACTATCATATACATTCAAATCTCTTTGGCCATTTACATTGTATTTAAAATATGATAAAGCTTCCTTCACATATGATTGTGTTTGGTACTCTGATATTACAGAAGGACACCGAATGGTATAATCCTTATGCAGAAGTTATCCCCGGTAAACTTTCTTCTAATTGCACTAAACAGTAGACAAATATCAACTGAAAAGAATCTTCTAACGACTACAACGGAGTAGCTAGGCAGAGGTCGGTTGCTTTCAACTCATTCGGTTCTCTAATCTTAGTCAGACTGGATACGCTGCTGATGAGCTCACTTCTAAAGGAACGAAACTGCTGTCCGGTGTTTAGATCGCTGAGAATTGACTAGCATTCATTACCGATCTGTGTGATCGAACTACTCATTTCAGTTAATTAGTAGCATATAGTTTTGTACTAAAACAATGATGCCTTTTATCATCATTATAGTAGTACATCGATTATTAAGCTACTTTGAGTAGTAAAGTGTTTATTTTGTAGAAAAAAAAGAGAACTGTTATCAAACCGAGTTATAAACTCATATAAGTCGAACAGATTTCGCGAAAAACGTTCACTATTTCTTTCATATCCGCTTCGAAACTTTGAAAAAAGGAGGAGAAAAAAATCAGTCAGCAAAAATAACAAACAGTCTAACTTAAATATGGAAAAAAAGAATCGTAAATCAAAGTAAAGGATAGAAAAGAAGCATAAGCAATGCGAGAGAGAGCAAATATCGCGCCTAAGCATATATTTAGCGTTTGTCTCTTATCAACTATTTTCTGACTTAAAATAGCTTTATCCCCATGAATAAACGGCTGATATACATATACTGTCAAGAAGTGGTTGGTTTGTCAATATGATGATTGCGTCACCCCCTTTCTTCGATTTCACGTTAATAGTCTTCATTGCAGATATGTTAGGAACTAGGCTTAAATTAACCGAGTTGATAAATGTACAAATCAAACGGTTGACTACGTTTTGACTTTAATTTGTAGATTTGCTGTACTCTGAACACTGAAATATATATATGCCAAATAAAGCATAATTTATATTTCAATAGTTTACACACAATGAAAAGTTTTGTTATTGGTAATATTTCGAGCAAAATTACTGCCCGTGTTCACACTACTGTTGGAATTGTTTCGGCCGCCTAATATTAATCTGGCACACGGTTGTCTAATAAGTACGTCTACTTCTGAGGTTTGTGTAAGCAACTACATTTCAAGACGTACAGATGACTTAGGTGTTTCAATTTCAACAAAGCAAGAACTACAGTTTTAGCAGAATAAAAGGGTACCATCTTTTATTTCGTTGCCTTCTCGTCAGCTGCTTTCAGGCCAAAGACATTATTATATATACCTACAATGTCGAAAAGTCATTCAAAATTGTCAATAGGCAAAAGAGCTCAATTGTCCTCAAGTTTGCTGAAGCCATCTCCATCATGCGCCTGAAACCTGATTTATGCGTTCAGAAAGAGGCAGTTATCAGTCTTTCTTTACCATGGTAACTGGATATTTTCACCGTCTCTTTCATCTGAATGTGTCAGGCTGAAAAGTTTCCATTGTGCGTGGTCATTATTGTTTGGAATAGTGTCTAATATTACATATATATATATTATTACTGTAAGCATATATTGGTCCATTGATTTTTGTTTAAAAGGAACTCTGTGCAAGTATGTTAAAATTCTTTTTGTAGATGTATTTAATAATGTATTTGGCCTGTAAGCAGCTGATGAGAAGGCAACGAAATAAGAGATGGCACCTTTTTATTCTGTAAAACCTGTAGTTCTCGCTTCGCTCAAATAACCTAGATGTGCTGATACCTTTAGGTCTTCAAGTATTGATTTCGTAGGGATTTTGTTTGATTGCATGGAGGATTTCACCATGAGCTAACATCAGTTAGAGAACCACTGGAAAAACCAACCAAGGAGTACTGGACAGCTGTTTCGTCCTAACTTGAGACTCTTCATCAGTTCACACCCACCAGGGTTCGAACCCAGGGCCTTCTGTTTACCTTTAGGTCTGTTGAAGAATATAGAAGTCTATCTTGGGCTTGATGTCACTCCCTAACCACCACATTCACATATGGTTCCTAACCAAAAGAACTTTCTATTCAATTGTCTGAAATCTTCTGGTCACTCACCAGTCAAAATACAAATCTGACAGAATCGTTGAGCAGTCAGAAATCATAACAACTCTTTATCATCATTTTAAAGGCCCCATATAGCAGCTGGATTCAATAAATAAGTTTTTTGGTTTTAGATATCTGCTTGTTGGAAATAGTTGCTTTTTACTTAAGTTTCTCAGCAATATTCAATGCACAAGTAACACTGACCTTCATGTACATAACATTACTTTGGTAAGGATTTCTGTTTTAAGATCAGTATATTAAAGTGAGAATAATTCACATAATTTTGAATCTTTCATATTAGTTCGCTTGGAATTTATATTCTATACATCATAAACCGCACAGAAATAGCTAAAAATACGTAATCACTCAGTCAATAAAGTATTAATTTGAAGTTCATTTATAATAAGTCAATATTTCTATTACTTTCCATTATAAAACCTTTCGTGTTTAGGCTACAAATATTCCACAACTAATAAAAAAATCCGGAAACCAATCAAATCCCTACAAACCAACACTTGAATACCAATGAGATGCTCACTGGCGACTGGCCCTATTCAGGTAGGTAGTTACCTGGGTTCCAGTGGGAAGTCGTAACCAGTAGGGTGCAGCGGGTCGAGTGTGAGGACAAATACTCGCCGAAGACATTGGCTAGCGGTCGCGGTATGTCGTGAATTGGCAGAAGTTAGAATTCAAGAGCCATTCGATCGGGTCCCAGTGGCTTAATGGTATACCAGCTCGCCTTGTAACCGGAAGGTCCTGGGTTCGAATCCCAGTGGGTGCATACCGCTGAAGAGTCCCAGACTAGAACAAAACAGCTGCCTAGTACTCCTAGGTGGGTTTTCCAATGGTTCTCTAACTAATGTCAGCTCATGATGAAATACGGAAAAAAGTACTTCTAGTTCGAGTACGTTTCAAACTGTTGCAAAGTAATATATTCATCACTGAAAGTACTGGCGACTGACAATGAAATAAGATATTCATATGTGGAACTGAGGCTCATTAGTTTAGGTGGTTAAGATGCGAACTCCTCTCCGCCTTACAGTGGTTTGGAAAATCAAGTAGTACCACTTGATCTTGAACAGTGGGTGCGGCTCAAATTTATAAAAGATATTCAAGCCTTTGAAATTTGGTAATCTCTTAGCAATTTAACACACGTGTTCAGTTTGCCATATCAATATTATTTCATATTTTTCTGATTTTCTTTCTCTTCACAGTTCCCTCCGAAGCCCCACAACTCATTCAAATAACAAATGAAGGAAAAGGTCAAAGGGTAGAAATTGGACCATCACGACCCGCAGTTGTCGACGATGGAAGTATAATGGTTCTTGAATGTATCGCTCGTCATGGTAAACCAGGAGCATTACTCACTTGGTTCATTGATGGTGTTCAAGTGGAACTGGAATCAAATCCTGACAGCCTACCTGGGTCTTTCATTTCTGGTTTTTCTGGTAATTTAACATTTCATCTGGAAGCTTCAGCCAAGATTCCAAGACTGTAAGTGTACAGTATACATTATATTGATAAATTTAAACTACATTAGTTGTTCAGTTGAAAAAAGAATAAACTGTCTAATAAATAGTCTGGAGATAATAATAAATACTCTTGGAACTTTGAGAAAGATGTTGATTGTCGTATAACACAGAGTATGATAGAAAACAGTGTTTACACAAATATTATATGATTCTCAAAAATGAAAGACACCAGTCTAATAGGATTTTATTTATTTCTGGATAATCTTTCTTTCCCTAATAAATCCCATTGTGCTCACCATCCTATTGCTTGTGATAGTTACGTTTTTTGATTGCTGTTTTCTTCTCTTCTTTCATTTTCATTGATGACTAATTAGACTTGAAAATTCTCAAGTTGGTTTGGGCCTGTCTCCTACTGACTGAGTTCAGGGATATGAATATTGGCAACACCTGTATCTTACATGCCAGCTGGTTGTTATTATTATTATTACTGTCCCCCTGTATTTCAAGCGGAACATAGGGCTTCAACAGCACATCTCCACTTTGTTCCGTTTTCCGCCATCCTACTTAGCTGAGTCCACAACTGCCCATAGTCGCTCATCTCATCATCCCCACACGATCCCTTCGACGTCACCCTCCCGCTGACGTCCCAGTAGTTGTGTCAAATTCAGATTCCACTGAAGGGCCCGGCGAGCAACTTCATTCGATGGTCTCCTCAATGTACACTCAATCAATCTCTATTTATCTCCTACATATTCGCTGAACAATAGGTTCTTGTTTATTTCCTTCCAGTACTTTCCTGTTTCTAATACTTTCTGACTGGTATTATTATCTTCACTATGAAGTCAGAGAAGGCAGATGTTTGAAACGCTTTTCGTGATGCACACTGTAGGTTTCTGACCCAAAAAGAAGAGCTGACTGATTTAAAATTGGTATTGAGGATCTGAATCTTGTTGTTTATGCTGAGTGCAGAATGTTTTCAAACTGATTTCAGATTAACAAAGGTGTACCTTGTCTTTCCAATTCTGGTTAGCTTTGACATCTTCAGGTGTTCCCCCCTGTGAATGAAACTATGCTCCCTAGATAAGTGAAGGAAGTGACCTCTGACCTCTGTCATATCTCTCTCGTTGATGGTGATTGGTACTGATCAATTGTCGCTGTTGGCTCCTTATCTTCTCCACCTTTGTCTTCTTTATGTTCACCCACAGTCCTGTCTTCTCTGCCTGTCTGACTCTTTAACCAGTTTGTTGGTTTTTGCCTGTGACATTAGCTATATATCATCTGCAAAATCCATATTTTCTAGCGTCTTCTTATTGGTGGTCCAGTCTCCTCGCTCCCATGCACAGTCTGCCGTATAGTCCAGTTCACCACAATTAGGAATATCATCGGCGGTAATAGACAACCCTGTCTTACTCCTGTATGCATTTCAAATGCCTTTCTGAGTTTCCCGTTATGGATCACTTGACACCTATCATTGCCAAATAGCCAACAGTTGAATGTGGCTGATAGAGACTCGGGCACTGAAGTAGTGTTGAAGTAATTTCCAGATTACGTCTTGGTGAACGTTGTCTGTCGAAGGTCTTTTCTAAGCAGATGAAACTGTTGAGGTAAGGATGGGTTTGACTGACATTCTATGCTTTGTTCTGTGATGAGATGCAACTTGATCAGCACATAATTTGCCTTTCCTGAATCCAGCTTGTTCTGGTGCATGCGAAATTCTGTATCCAATGCATCATTTATTCTCTCTAGGATGATGCGACTTAGTATTTTACTTGGCGTGGACAAGACAATGATTCCACGCCAGTTCTTGCAGAGTGAACCATAAGTCGCCCTTAATGGCAGCCTAACGAGACAGCCAGCTTTTTTTCCAATCGACAGGTACCTTTCCTTTTCTCCAAACCTTTTGTAATAATGGCGTCAGCAAATCTATCGCAGTCCTTGAGTCCGCTTTCAGTGCTTCGGAGGAATTCCACTTGGCTCTTCTACCTTTCCAGACTTCAGTTGCTTGGTTGCATTCAAGACTTTCGCTTGTTTTAGTTATTATTTATGCATGACTTGGGCTTTCTGATAGTATATAATTCCGTAATGCATTCAAAACATCATCTAGCAAATAATTCGATCTCACCACTATGTGCTATATCCAGTGGCTCAGTGGTCTACGAGCTCGTCTTGTAACCAGAAGGTCCTGGATTCGAGCCCCGGTGGGTGCGTACTGGTGAAGAGTCCCAAGTTAGGACGCAACAGCTGTCCAGTACTCCTTGGTTGGTTTTTCCAGTGGTTCTCTAACTGATGTTAGCTCATGGTGAAATCCTCCATGCAATCAAGCAAAATCCCTACAAAAAAACCAATACTTGAAAATATCCAATATACAAATGAATATGAAGTTACACTTATTATAGTATTTTGCACTCCCGAAAGAGTAGAGAAGCACAAAATCTCTAGGTGAACACGCATTATCATGTTAAATACTTACTGGCAAACCCTTCCTAATTTGTATCAATGTACAATGTAGAATTGTCAAGGCCAATGAACTTTGCAACACTAACAATTCTAGCTTTCTGAAGATAGTAAAGGCTTGCCAAATTTAATTATGAAATTTTCTTCAGTTAGACTCCTTAGTAGTTATTAGATTTCAGTCAGAAAAAGTACATTTTTCAATAGTTTATACAAGAAGGAAAAACAAGATTGTTATATGAACAATTAATGATAATATTTTACTTAGTACTCAGACAATATTGACCATCTGTTAATTTATTCGCTGTCGATTTAACGACAACAGGTGTCACATTAATTTAACTTGTTGGTACAAATCAGACTAAAGTAAACATTAGAATGTTTATTCTAAGGAAAAAAACCATTTAATTACTTTACATAACACAATTAGGTTGATGCGTAGTTTTTTTTATTGAGGCAAATGTCTTGTAAGTTGATTGCAGCTGTACAGAAATCAATTGTCTCTTAGAGATTCAAATCAGTTTACCAGGTACTTGTTATTTGTTAAGATTTAAAACACTGGGAAAAAAAGTGGTTTTACACACAACTCTTGGAAACAAGTACCTCAGAGATGCCCACGTAACTGAGAAGTCTTCACAGTTTTACTGTAGTTGTGTTTTCCAAACTGGATGGTTTAGTTACTTCCGGTGAATCCTAACCTTTTGGTGAAATCATTCCATTTTCGAACAGAAAGAGCCTATTCCGCTGATAAGCTTTAGATACAGTGGAGATTTGTAACTAAAATGAGTGAACTGGTAGAAGTTAGAATTCATGCAGTGGCCATTAGATTGAGTCCTAGTGGCTTAGTGGTCTATGAGATCGTTAGCCCTGAAACCAGAAGATCCTGGGTTTGAACCCTGGCGGTGGGTGCGTACTGATGAAGAGTCCCAAACTTGAACGAAACAGCTGGCTGTCCAGTACTCCCAGGTAGGTTTTCCAATGGTTCTCTAATAGATGTCAGCTCATGATGAAATCCTCCAATCAATGCAACTGACACAATTACGTACACCCAAATCATCCACCTGAGCTCCAAATCTTCTCCATTATATATGTTTTCAGAGTGTTACACCGAGGATAAGGCTTTTTAGGTTTATCATTTCCGAAATGCTGAAACACAGTTATCCTTGAACACTGACGTTACTCAAAAAGTCATTGTAAAACGAAAAAAAGACACTAGATGATTTTATGGTTTTCGTCTTGGAAGTGTCAACGGTAAATACAAAGAAAACCTCCTCCCCTAGACGAAAGGAAAAAGGCAAAGAATGTTAGGCCTCACAATAAGCCTGTTATCACTTAGTCAGTACATTGAAAACAAGAAGTGCCTTCTATTGTCTATCCACTAGTTTCTAGGTCTGTTTTGTACTGTGATAAAAAACTAAGTACCTGAAATGACAACAAAAGTTATTTTATAAACATGATCACTAAAAATTTGTTACCTACACAGGAGATACAATTTCAGGATAAGATCAGACAGCTGTTGTTGTGTGTTTTGTTTTCAATTAAGGAGTTATATGTATGTATGTATGCATTCATGATGTGATTTTGCATTTTCCTAAAGATAAATTATGTACCCAGAGAGGAATGCTTTTAATGAACACATGTCAGATGAATTTATGTAGATAATAAAGCCCTTAATTTTTCATTTTATGAATTTAATGCCCCTTATATCAAATGAGAAAGTTCATCAGACAGACAGCAGATAGCTTATTCACAAGTTATCAAACTATTTCAGAAAGAAAACACTGGAAACGGTGTAGATCAATTAAGTGAATTACTTGCTTCTTGAAAAAAGATTATTTTACTGACGGTTTTCATTACCAGATCCCAAGTGTTACTATCTCTTGAGGAAGTTCACTGAAATTCATAAATACACGAATAAAGGAAGAAATTGTCACCCAGTAAAGAATAATCTGATCTTCTTTCTGTGATTAGATGGTCTGAGATCTAAGTTTTCGTGCTTGTTGGCGTACCTGCAACCTGCTGATTGCCTTCAACCACCAAATAACAACAATTCAGAATACATCGTGATGGTAGGCCACCTAGAATGGTGGCCACATAGCAAACTTGACTGAGAGAATTCATTCTGCGCCAAACGCATAAGACCAGTTACCCTCAATGCATTGTTCTTTCTTCTTTTCTATTTTCTTTCTTCTTGCATGACTTACCTCACTCTGATGAAAAGAACTTTCTCAAGTGTGCAGACAATCTAATTGTTTCAATGCCTGTTAACTCACAGCTAGACTATTCTAAGATGAACACCTTTCTATCGGGAGTCATCAAATGGCTTTCGTCTAATGGTCTTAAACTAAATGATTCTAAATATAAGACTGTTAATTTCAGTTTCCGATGTAAAAGAAAGTTAAATGAAGCTGTTAATTTCTATGACCGTTGCAACATTGATGATAGTGATATAGAAATCAAGTTTGATGTTAACTATTTCGGATTAATTCTTTCTTCTGACCTATCCTGGCCTTCTCATGTTTTAGCGATTTCTAAAAAAAATATTTTGTCTGACATTTTACATTAAGAAGT